TTAAGAATTGATTATCCCTGAAAAGAGCGCCTCACCTGCGTCAAAGCTCCCTCTGGATGATATTAATAGTCCTCTATGGGCAGACCCAAACTTGACCCTGTGTATAAGACATTGATTGTGATTAATCGAGCTTCTGCGGTGCAGAACTGAACGCTTCAAACATGAAGAATCCCTGGTATAACTGATAAGCTTGACTGGCCCGAATCCCACTATCCAAGTACTTAAGTAGAAGACAAGGCTGCAAGTGAGTCGAGTACAAAGGACTTCGGATGAACATTCTAGTCGAAAATAACATAACATGGTATACGAAAACGAGATAGGGTATAGCTAGAGTGCAAGAATATATCGGGCTCATGTTTTACAACAGTAAGAAAGAGGATCACAGATCAACAACATACCACACGACAGGAATACGACGCAGTAGAACTACACACCAATATGAACGAAAACCATCCTCTGCTCCAGCGGCACTGTCGTCTTCACGGCGTGCGTAGCACGGTTCAGTGCCCAAGCCGCCTTCGTACAGTCCATCACACCTCCATCACTCAAATCTGGGAACATGTTCTCATAGAAGGCTTTGACGACGTGTTGTGCGACAGAGTCGTCGACCTGCCACAGCGTGCCAATGACGCTCTTGAACCCTGAAAACTGGAGACCAGCTGCGAGGTGTATCACTTCGTCGGGTGTCTCCTCATCCCCCACGGCGGTATGACACGCCGATAGAAACGCGAACTCGGCGTGCGGAATATCTCTCTCCATGATATCGAGCAGCGTGAGATGTTCATCTCTCATGACGAAATGGGAATTGTAAGGCTGCTTTGGGTCCTGCTTGCCATGACAAGCTAGGTGCACCCATGTGTTCTCTTGCAAAGCTTCGAGCGCACCTGCTCGGGTGGCTGCGTCGCCAGAAATAGTAGTGCGTTTGGCCGTCGCAGGGACGAGCTTATGGACAAGCTCGAGCTCGCTGTCGACGGCCAAGAGCGCCTTGCCTTTCCCTTCGCCCGGTTGACCCTGTCCGATTGTCGCGAAGGATGGAGTGACACGCTTCTTCATCATCTGTCTGGATCTGACCAGAGCCGAAAGCGTGGGCGTATAAGAACAGATGTAGAGATCCTCCAGGCATTGCTCCCTAGAGCCATCTGGGTTGGTTCGAAACGGGTGAGCTGCATGGAGAGGAATAGATGTGAAGGCTGCAGTTGGACACAGCCAGATTCGACAGTATTTTAGTTTCAGATCATGCCGGAGGACGTTGATAATAGGTAGCATGATCTCGTTCCATAGTATCCGCGAGAGTACTATGAGATCCGTCCTCGACTGCTTTGGGGTCATCTGAGATGCTTCTCGTATTGCCCTGGCGAAGCGATCCTTGAGATTGGTCAGATCTGCGAGAGTGACAGATGGTAAGGGAACATGATGGGGGCCTCCTGATGTCGGGACGATGATGGCGCTACATGAGTATTGACTTGCAATGAGGATTATGACTGGACCCTGGCGCGCTGCCGCTTGCAGGTCTGAGTATGAAGGTGGGAGTAGGAACCGCGAGAACGCCGGAACATCGCGTATCTGAGCTACAGCAGCTTCCCATTGCCTTGTAAGTTTCCTATACTCTGTTGCTGCCCGATCGGTGGCAGCTCTGTCGGTGATGGTTGCAGAACTCTGTGCGGCATCGGAAACGCGCTTGCTCAGCTCCAAATAATTGTGTGCCAGCGTCGGATTTGCTGACTCGATATCTTCGACTGGATTCCTGAGTCGAGATGCCAGCGACCACTGCTGGCCGCGACCTTGCTCTGCGAGTTCAACTGCGTGTCGCATATTGTCACGACGTATGGCGCACGAGGCTGCATCTACAGGAAGTGATTGTGCACCACCGACAGCGGTTGCAGCTTCACGCCGTGAGATGATCGACGATCGTGTCATCACATGGCTGTCGAAAAGCTCAAAGCACACTTGGTATGCTTCTAGGGCAGATTCATGTTGATGGACTTCTGCTTGGCGAGCCCAGTCAATAGCTTCCTTGATGCGTCGCGGAAATCCTTGAGTAGGGTGCCTTGACGCCAGTCTGAAATTCTTCACTGCAAGTGACAAATCAGCAGGGTCGTGTAGAATCCGGTAACGAGACAAATAGGCCTCCTGCAGCCACATGTAGCTGAAGTACCTGTCCGGGTGCAGTGAAGACAGAGCCGCCAATGATTCTTGGCAAAGAGCAATGGCCTCCTCAACATCTTCATTCTTCTGAGCTTGCGTGAAACGAGAGCAGAGCGCCGAGCTCAAATTGTAAAGATTTCTGTGGCGCCCTGGATGGTCAAGCCGCTTTAACCGAAGGGATTCTCGATACAAATCAATGGCCTCGTTGAGATCCTTGCTGACTTGCGATTTGTCATATCGGGTTTGCAGCGCGATGGCAAGGTTGTGAAGCGTGGTGTCACGAGATGAATGTCCAGGTGGGCGCAACGTCAGGGCCTCGCGATAGAGGCTGATGGCTCGGGTCATGTCTTCAATATTGCCGCGTTTGTTGAAACGGTCGATGAGGGCGCCCCCTAGGTTGCCCAATGAGTAAGCACGAAATTTGTGCCCAACAGGGCGCAGGCGCAGCGCTTCTTCATACATAAAGATGGCCTCATCGAGGTCATTAGGATTGCCTTGGTGTTTAAAGCGGGACATGAGTGAAAGGGCCAGGTTGTTCAGGCAGGTACCACGGTCAGCATGTCCCTCGGGACACAGAGACACGGCTTCACGACGAAGCTGTATGCACGTGTCAAGATCATCGATGTTGCCGTACTGATAAAACCGTGCTTCAACTGCTTGTGCAAGCTTGTGGAGGGTTCTGGGACGAAGTCGATGGCCCAAAGGACAGAGCTCGAGGACGACTCTTCGGAGGTGGATGCCTTCATCGGACGCGTCTGTTGGAAGACCGTTGCATTCATCAATCACATAATCAACACCATTTTTCCCTGCCGCGATGCTACGAAGGTATGTGCCCTCTGGACAGAGTGGCAGTAGCTCATGATAGAGTTGGGCGGCTTCGCAGATGTCTGCAGCAGTACTTTTCCTGGAGTGGCGCCAAGTCAGCGCTTTGGTGAGATTATATAGGGATAAGGGATGATCGGGATGGTGCTGCGGACGCAATGCAAGGGCGTCGAGGAAGAGGGAAGTGGTAGTATCAATGTCTTGAACATCATTTCGGATGTAGCCTTTAAGGCGGGCCCACGCGAGATTGGTGAGAGCCGTTGCGCGGTCTGGATGGCCGACCGGACAGTGGTTCAGGACCAACTGAAAATGCTCTACAGCATCGTCCAAGAAAAAGGCCTTCTCGCATCTCACGTATCCGGCAAGTCGTACGTGGCCAGCATCTGTGTCTCGAGCAATTTCACAGTCCACGAGGGACTACAGTTGGCGTTCCGTCAGCAAAGCTAATAGGACGGAGTCTGGGGTCGCTCACATTAAACAGTCCGCCGTTTTGATTGTCCCAAGCATGTACGACAGCAACCTTCAGTGTGATGGAAGGTTGGACACCGCGCACGGCTCGGAACGACAAATCTACGAGATGTTAGCATATGTGCATGAATGAGAAGGGAATGACTCACCAAATGGCTGATCTCCATGATCGAGTAGCTCATCCCACGACATTTCAAGTGCCCCGAGGACCTCTCCACCGCCTAGCATTCGACCAAGCTCATAGGAAGCCTTGATCTCTATCGACAACGCAGACGAGGCATTTGATGATCTATAAACCAATGATCAGTTCTCGCATCACGTCAGAAGATCTCCATGGACGTTACAGAGTTACAGTATCCCCCCACGCTACAGATTCATCAGATGATAAGACACTGATGGCCGATTTCCAGCATCTCCTCGAGTCGACATTGATGGAAATGTAAATGCCAGCGGGAATGCGCCCGGAGGGGGCTCGAAGATTCTTTCCGCTGATGACTGTAGATAGAGTGTGAGGATTACGAAAGAGACACGAAGATGATATGGAGACTCGCCTTCAAGTTTGATATATCGACTTCCTGAGCTACCAGGCATGATGTTGGATGGAGCAAAATGATGAGGATCGAGGATGGGTAGAGTGGTGGGAAGGATGAATGGGAAGGGAAGATGGGAGTAATGATATGGGGACTGCAGATAGAGTTCGGCTGAGTGGGAGATTGAGGCCTAGGGTTCAGGTCACGCTGCACGTGTATCTCCATGATGTTCGGCACAATAGACGCTGATATGATTGCACAAGCGCTGGGAATGGGGATCACTGACAAGGACTAGCAGAAGAATCTGTGCTAAAGTAGAGAATGACATGAAGAGTTCGCGGCGAAAGTGGTCTGCCAACGTTGAAAGGGACATGCGAGTCTCGGAGTGATTGCTGCTTCTGTACTTGCATCGTACTACTCAGTTAGCACGCAAGGGCAAAATGTAGAATTGAGTATATTTTGTGATGTAACGACAAAGCAAAAAATGTCTATATCGCTGAAAACGGCGCGCAAAGAGAAGTACATACGACTGGTCCAATTGAGCTGACAGTGCCATGGGGGAAGGAAGCGACTCGGGAGGAATAAGAAAGAATAAGACGAGAATGCAACCAATTATATTCTCGTTCGGTGATTGATGCTTGACGAACGAAGTATTGAGGAAGCTGTGACCGCTACCGGATTCACTCACCGCCGAGAGATAAGAAACTGAACCCTGCGGAAAAGGAATATCCATTACTGCATGGATAGGCTGGTAGGTCCATAGTGTAGGAAAGCCTTGAAGGTGATGGGACCACACTTTGGTGGAGCTTCGACGAGAGGAAGGGGTTGTATTTGAGGCAAGGGTGGTGTCAATTGAACAAAGTGCAGAGTGACTGTCGAGTCAATGGTGAAAGAAGAGGCGTATCTCGTAGGATATGGATGTGGACTGTAATGATATGAAACAGGGAGGTGGTGCGGACAGCTAAGCGTAAATCGCGGTGCACTACGTGAGAACCGTAAGATAGACGTGCAGTGTCGTCCATCCAATTGCAACGTGCCGGCATCCCGTTCTCACGGTGCTTGCATATGATCTTTTTTTAGAAAATCAGACCCGGCTTCTGTTGTCATTCTATGGATGGATGGTTATCGAGTCTCAACTGGGTCGCTACCTCCCAACTAGCCCGACAATCATTGGCTGCTCCCGTTGTTCCTGGTAGCTTTCAGATTCACAGGTACGTCTGACAATTTCAATCTTGCACATTGAAACGCATGCATGAATGGCTACAGCTCATATACATACATCGAAGATCTCAAATGGCAAATCAAATTCACCATGATTTGGTGGAGACCAACGGATATCGGTCCGCCCATTCCGATGGAAAGGAGCCACCGCCTACCCGTCGAAGACGTCGTAGGTTGCTCGGAACTTGGAATGCTCTTATCTGACCGACGTATTTGTCTCCTCTGAAACTCGGGCTCAATGTCGGACGAAGTGCGTGTCGAGAATTTTGTTACTGACAGGAAAAACTGACACGTTGTAATATTTAGTTATAGTTTTATTGGCGTACCTCGCAGCTGTGCTCTTCTGCATCATAAAGGATGCACCTCTTATTTCTAATCCGAACAGAGCTACCAGGTGAGTCGGTCCATCCGTTCACGCACGAGAGGAACTTATTTGGGTCACTTAGGAGTTCTCGCTATCGCAGTTTCCGGTCGTCTTTTTGTTCGCAACAAAAAACTCAAGTATGTCCTCATTGTTAGGACCAGGGAATGGCTACGAAAAATCAACTTCATGCATAGGATGGCAGGAAGAGCCATGTTCCTCGCCGGATGCATCCATGGGTCTCTGTAGATTCACAATCATCTGCAGTATTGACTTGCAATTCTTGATCCGCAGAAAGAGACTTCGGGGGTGCCATCCTCAACATCATCGTACTCACATCTTTGAGGCCAGTCAGGAGACTGTTTTATAAGTGTTTCTTCGTCGTCCAGTAAGTTTTGTTGCCTCGCGTCGCACCACAGCTAATCTTCTCTGAAGCATTTTGTATTCTTTGTTACCATATGTTACCATACATTGTATGCATCATCGTTGACATTCCCTCCCCTTACATTTTATGGTGCAGATGTTTTATTGCGCCTATTCCACTATCGAATCAAGGATGCCACTCTCACTGCGCAGGACGCTCACATGACTTCGGTACAGTATTCGAACGTTGTTCGATGCACTGTTGACCTCATCTTTCACAGATACGAGTTCATAATTGCGACGATAGCCGGCCGGCTGGCCAGCATGTCAGATTGCGCGTTTTCTTCTCCGACAAAGTTTTTGAGTCCCATACATTCATTATCCTCTCGGCACCACCGTCCCATTCTTATATTTCCTCACCTGGGTTCCTTCTCGCTGCACGAAACGATGGAGACTGGACGCGGGCATTGGATGACTACACCCGACAGCAACAAGAACCTTCACAAGTCAATTGAGAAGTCTGAGTGCGACTCGGGTGCTTTCGTTCAAGTCATGCTGGATGGTCCTTGTAGAGCGTCGAGCGTCGATCTGGGTCTGTACGAAAGCGTGTCTCTTGTAGCCGGCAGGCCTGGGGTGACATTCACTCTTGGTCTGCTGGACGACATCGTCGGCAGGTGTTTCAAACTAGGCCGCAGTCAGGGGGAACGAACGAGCCGAATCGAATTCAGCTGGTGCATTGGATCATTCGGTATTTCATTTTTGACTACAGGCATCACATCATTCTAATCTATTTGCACAGGTCAGATAGAATCGTTTGCTCCGATGCTGATAGATATTGCTACAGCAGCGTCTAATAGCACGATCGACTTACACATTTCTATTTTCGTGACGTGCCTTTGCAATCCAGAAGCGGTACCTCACATCCCTAATCTCATTGTCACACTCTCGCGTCCGTCTGTTCAGGATCTTCTCAAGGACTTGATCAGTCTTTCGCCATCGTCTGAAAAGGAAGATTCGATCGAAACCCAATGTGAAGAAAGCCAGACATTGATGGGCTCGGGTGGTGGAGTCGCGGTCTGCGCTAGCGGCCCAGACAGCTTGACGAGAGACTCGCAGAATGCAGTCGCGAGATTGGGTTTGACAGTGGGTATGGATGTGGGCGGGATTGCTCTACATACAGAGCTGTTTACTTTGTAACGCTGAGGTAGATGTCATCTCATACTGGCGTTTTTCAAGAGTTTACATTTAGGACTGCGGTCAGCGTTTTCTTACCTTTGACTGCTTGCGACGCCTCGTGTATTTTTGCTGTAGCACGTCGCGTTATATCATAATCATTAAGACAGGTTCCCTCTGGGTCCATAAAACCGGCTCAAATTCGGCCGTGTATTGCATGCAATCATTTGAAGAAATGGTATGTACTCATCTGCAAATGACGATAGAGCAGGTGCTCGGGTATGAAGTGATTTCGACTTACCAATCATCTTCAATGCGCAGTGTGCCAGTCCGTAGAGTCTCGACTTGGTCGCTACGTCCCCAATAATATGGCTCCTCCAGCCGTTCCGGATCCCAGCACCTGTCAAATTTACAAGTATGTCTACAGTTCTGATTCTGCACATTAGTTTTGAAATGCAGACATAAATGACAGGATGCGTACCCTCGCTCTCAATCTAATCTCACCGTCTCGAATCTATCAATCTGGGACAGCCATTCCTGCACGCGCGCCAACCACAGGGTGTTCTAGAAGGCCCGAGAGCAGCAACGGGCGATCAGTGAATGCCTTCTCGCGGAGAAACATCACCACTTCGTTATAACGTTGATGGGACACAGAGGTTAGGCTTGTCCATGAGGCGAAGTACTGAGGTACTGGCGGATCTCCGAACCCTTCAACAAGTATGAGTAACTCCAATAATAAATTAGGAGTGCTGACCATGGCAAATAACTCTTGGATGTCGTTATACACTCAGTGCACGCCTTGGAAGATTCAACTTGGCACTAATGTCAAAGCGGATGTGGTAAGTAGTGCACGGCAATAAGTCAAAGCAGCCATCCGGGTTGAAGAGAACTGACTTCGACGGGTGTACATGTTGAGTTGGATGGGCCCTGCTTCTAACTTGGCAGTGGTTGGTCGTGTGTACTCAAGCAGAAGATAAGTCTGAAAACGAGTCGAATAGTACATAGTAACTTTGATGAACACTCTAGTCGACAAAAATACAACAGCATACGAAAATGAGGTAGCTAGAACGCAAAAAATATATCAGGCCTAATCAATTATACAACAGGATGAAAGGATCGCAAATCAACAACATGTGAATACGTGCCAGACGACAGCAATACGACGTAGAACTACACACCAATATGAACAAAAACCATCCTCTGCTCCAGCGGCACTGTCGTCTTCACGGCGTGCGTAGCACGGTTCAGTGCCCAGGCCGCCTTCGTACAGTCCATCACACCACCATCCTTCAAATCTGGGAACATGTTCTCATAGAAGGCTTTGACGACGTGTTTGGCAACAGAGTCGTCGACCTGCCACAGCGTCCCAATGACGCTCTTGAACCCTGAAAACTGGAGACCAGCTGCGAGGTGTATCACTTCGTCGGGAGTCTCCTCATCCCCCACGGCGGTATGACACGCCGATAGAAACGCGAACTCAGCGTGCGGAATATCTCTCTCCATGATATCGAGCAGCGTGAGATTTTCATCTCTCATGACGAAATGGGAATTGTAAGGCTGCTTTGGGTCCTGCTTGCCATGACAAGCTAGGTGCACCCAGGTGTTCTCTTGCAAAGCTTCGAGAGCACCTGCTCGTGTGGCTGCGTCCCCAGAAATAGTAGTGTGTTTAGCCGTCGCAGGGACGAGCTTATGGACAAGCTCGAGCTCGCTGTCGACGGCCAAGAGCGCCTTGCCTTTCCCTGCACCCGGTTGACCCTGTCCGATTGTCACGAAGGATGGAGTGACACGCTTCTTCATCGTCTGTCTAGATCTGACTAGAGCCGAAAGTGTCGGGGTGTAAGAGCAGATGTAGAGATCCTCCAGGCATTGCTCCCTAGAGCCATCTGGGTTGGTTCGAAACGGATGAGCTGCGTGGAGAGGAATAGATGTGAAGGCTGCAGTTGGACATAGCCAGATTCGACAGTATTTTAGTTTTAGATCATGTTGGAGGACGTTGACGATGGGTAGCATGATCTCGTCCCAAACTGTCCGCAAGAGGACTATTAGATCGTTTCGCGGCACTTTTGGGCCCAGGGCAGATGCTTGTCGTATTGCCCTGGCGACGCGGTCCTTGAGATTGGTCAGATCTGCGAGAGTGACAGATGGCAAGGAAACATGATGGGGGTCTCCTGACGTTGGGACGATGATGGCGCTGCATGAGTATTGACTCGCAATGAGGATGATGACCGGGCCCTGGCGCGCTGCCGCTTGCAGGTCTGTATACAGAGGTGGGAGTAGGAACCGCGAAAACGCCGGAAGATCACGTATTTCAGCAACCGCAGCTTCCCATTGCCTTGTAAGTCTCCTGTACCCCACTGCTGCCCGATCAGCAGCAGCGCTGTCAGTGATGGTTGCAGAAGTCTGGGCTGCATTGGAAACGAGTTTGCTCAGTTCCAAATAATTGTGCGCCAGTTTCGGATTTGCTGACTCAAGGTCTTCAACTGGAGTCCTGAGTCGAGATGCCAGCGACCATTGCTGGCCACGACCCTGCTCTGCAAGTTCGACTGCGTGCCATAGATTGCCATTGCGGATAGCGCACGATGCTGCATCTACAGGCAGCGATCTGACACCCTTGAAGGCAGCAGCAGCTTCGCGTCGTGAAATTGTTGATGATCGCGTTGCCACATGACCATCAAGAAGGTCGAAGCATGTGTTGTAGGCCTCCAGTGCAGATGTATGACTGTGTGTCTCTGCAGTGGCGACCCAATCCCGGGCTGTTATAATACGGTACGGAAAGCCCTGAGTAGGGTGCCTTGATGCGAGTCTGAAATTCTTCACTGCAAGCGACAAATCAGCAGGGTCGTGTAGAATCCGGTAACGAGACAAATAGGCCTCCTGCAGCCGCATGTAACTGAAGCACCTGTCCGGGTGCAGTGAAGACAGAGCCGCCAATGATTCTTGGCAAAGAGCAATGGCCTCCTCAACATCTTCATTCTTCTGAGCTTGCGTGAAACGAGAGCAGAGCACCGAGCTCAAATTGAAAAGATTTATATGGCGCTCTGGATCGTCAAGCCGCGTTAACCGAAGGGACTCGCGATACAAATCAATGGCCTCGTTGAGATCCTTGCTGACTTGCGATTTGCCATATCGGGTTTTGAGCGCGAGGGCGAAGGCAAGGTTGTGAAGCGTGGTGTCACGAGATGAATGTCCAGGTGGGCGCAACGTCAGGGCCTCACGATAGAGGCCGATAGCTCGGGTCATGTCTTCAATATCGCCGCATTCGTTGAAACGGGCGATGAGGGCGCCCCCTAGGTTGTCCAATAATAAATCACGAGATTCATGCCCAACAGGGCGCAGGTGCAGCGCTTCTTCATACATAAAGATGGCCTCATTGAGGTCACTAGGATTGCCTTGGTGCTCAAAGCGGGACACGAGTGAAAAGGCCAAGTTGTTCAGGTAGGTATCACGGCCAGCATGTCCCTCGGGACACAGAGACACGGCTTCACGACAAAGCTGTATGCACGTGTCAAGATCATCGATGCTGCCGTGCTGATCAAACCGTGCTTTAACTGCTCGTGCAAGCTCATCGAGGGTTCTGGGACGAAGTCGATGGCCCAGAGGACAGAGCTCTAGGACGACTCTTTGAAGGTGGATGCCTTCATCGGATGCGTCTGTTGGAAGATTGTTGCATCCGCCGATCACATAATCAACATCTTTTCCTCCTGCCGCGATGCTGCGAAGGTACGTGCCCTCTGGACAGAGAGGCAGTAGCTCATGATAGAGTTGGGCAGCTTCGCAGATGTCTGCAGCAGTACTTTTCCTGGAGTGGCGCCAAGTCAGCGCTTTGGTGAGATTATATAGGGATAAGGGATGATCGGGATGGTGCTGCGGACGCAATGCAAGGGCGTCGCGGAAGAGGGAAGTGATAGTATCAATGTCTTCGACATCATTTTGGATGTAGCCCACAAGGCGAACCCACGCGAGGTTGGTGAGAGCCATTGCGCGGTCTGGATGGCCGACCGGACACTGGTTCAGGACCAACTGAAAATGATCCATAGCATCGTTCAAGTCAGAGACTGTCTTGCTCGTCGCGTACGCAGCAAATCGTGCGTGGCCCGCATCTGTATCTCGAGCAATCTCGCAGTCCACGAGGGACTACAGTTGGCGTTCCGTCAGCAAAGCTAACAGGACAGAGTATGGGGTCGCTCACATCAAACAGTGCGCCGTTTTGATCGTCCCAAGCATGTACAACAGCAACCTTCAGTGTGATGGAAGGTTGGACACCGCGCACGGCTGGGAAAGATAGATCTACGAGAGGTTAGCATATGTGCATAAATGAAAAGCGAATCACTCACCAAATGGGTGATCTCCATGATCGAGTAGCTCATCCCACGACATTTCAAGTTCTCCGAGGACCTCTCCACCGCCTAGCATTCGACCAAACTCATAGGATGCCCTGATCTCTATTGACAATGCAGGCGAGGTATTTGATGGTCTATAAATCAATGATCAGTTCTTGCATCACGTCAGAAGATTTCCATGGACTTTACAGGGTTACGGTATCCCCCCACGCTACAGATTCATCAGATGATAAGACACTGATGGCCGATTTCCAGCGTCTCCTCGAGTTGACATTGATGGACACGTAAATGCCAGCGGGAATGCGCCAGGAGGGGATTCGAAGATTCTTTCCGCTGATGACTGTAGATAGATCACGAAACAGATACAGAGATGATATGGAGAGACTCGCCTTCAAGTCTGATATATCGACTTCCTGAGCCACCAGGCATGATGTTGGATGGAGCAAAATGATGAGGATCGAGGATGGGTAGAGTGGTGGGCGGGATGAATGGGAAGGGAAGATGGGAGTAATGATATGGGGACTGCAGATAGAGTTCGGCTGAGTGGGAGATTGAGGCCTAGGGTTCAGGTCACGCTGCACGTGTATCTCCATGATGTTCGGCACAATAGACGCTGATATGATTGCACAAGCGCTGGGAATGGAGATCGCCGACAAGGACTAGCAGAAGAATCTGTGCTAAAGTAGAGAATGACATGAAGAGTTCGCGGCGAAAGTGGTCTGCCAACATTGAAAGGAACATGCGAGTCTCAGAGTGATTGCTGCTCCTGGAGTTGTATCATACTACTCAGTTAGCACGCAAAGGCAAAATGTAGGATTGAGTATATCTTGTGAGGTAACGACAAAGGTAAAAAATGTCTATATCGCTGAAAACGGCGCGCAAAGAGAAGTACATACGACTGGTCCAATTGAGCTGACAGTGCCATGGGGGAAGGAAGCGACTCGCGAGGAATAAGAAAGAATAAGGCGAGAATGCAACCAATTATATTCTCGTCCGGTGATTGATGATCGACGAACGATTGAGAAAGCTGTGGCCGCTACCGGATTCACTCACCGCCGAGAGATAAGAAACTGAACCCTGCGGAAAAGGAATATCCATTACTGCATGGATAGGCTGGTAGGTCCATAGTGTAGGAAAGCCTTGAAGGTGACAGGACCATACTTTGGCCAAGGACATGTAGTGTGGCTTGAGGCTGCAAAATGGCAGAGGTTACAGAAGCGGACCATTGCAGTAAACGTCTGAATGTGGAGCTTCGACGAGAGGGAGGGGTTGTATTTGAGGCAAGGGTGGTGTCGATTGCACAAAGCGCAGAGTGACTGTCGAGTCAATGGTGAAAGAAACGGGGTGAAGAGGGAATCACCAGATATGAGGCGTATCTCGTGGGAGATGGACGTGGACTGTAATGATATGAATAATTGGGAGGTGGTGCGGCCAAGTACGAAGAGATGAATGATGATCTATATTCGGACTGCATAGATAGACGTGCAGAATTCGAACTTGGGTGGTGTGCCACATGCGGCATCCCGTTCCCACGGTGTTTCTTAGCCCCTTTCCAATACATATGGTCTTTCGCCCGGTTTCTGTTGATAGCATCACAAGGGTACCCTACCATTACAGTCCCCAGGCATGTCAGGAACCAAAAATGACTTTTAGAACTTCCAATGTGCTTGGCGGGTTTGAGCTGGATTTCGACAGGTCACAAAGTAAACTGCTCTGTATGTAGAGCAATCCCGCCCACATCCATACCCATTGTCAGACGTCAAAACCAATCTCGCCACTGCATTCTACACATCTCTCGTCAAGCTCTCTGGGCCACTAGCACAGACCGCGACTCCATTAATTTCTGGCTTTCATCACATTGCATGCATGTCGATCGAATCTTCCTTTTCACATGATGACGGAAAACTGATGAAGTCCCTGAGAAGATTATGGACAGCCGGACGCGAAAGTGTGACGATGGAGTTGGGGATATGAAGTACCGCTTCTGGATCGCAAGCCTGAGAGCACGTTATGAAAACAGAAGTGTGCAGATCTACGGTGCTATTCGACGCTGCCGTGGCAATATCTATCAGTATCGGTACAAACCATTCTATTTGTGCAAATAGATCAGAACGATGTAACACCCGTAGTCAAAAATGAAATACCAAAAGATCTGATGCACCAAGTGAACTCAATTCTCCTCGTTCGTTCTCCCTGACTGCGGCCTAGTCTGACACACCTGCCGACGATGTCGTCCAGCAGACCGAGAGTGAATGTAATACCAGACCCCCCGGCTATAAGAAACGCGCTTTCGTACAGACCCAGATCAACGCTTGACCCTCCATAAGGACCATCCAGTATGACTTGAACGAAAGCACCCGAGTCGCCCTCTAACGTGTTATTGATTCATAAATGTTCTTGTTCCCTCCGAGTATATCTATTCATTGCCCGCATCCAGTCTCCATCATTTCGTGCAGCGAGAAAGAATCCAGGTGAGGAAAGGCAAGAATGGGAAGGGGGTGCCGAGAGAATAGTGAGGGGATGTGATTCAAAAACTCTGCTGGAGAAGAGAACACGCAGTCTGACATGCTGGCCAGCAAGCCAGCCATCGTCGCAATTATGAACGCGGATCTATCAAAGATGAAATCAACAGTTTATCGAATAACGCTCAAACACTTGTTGTACCATAGTCATGTGAGTGCCCTGTGCAGTAAGTGTGGCGGCCTTGATTCGATAGCGAAATAGGCGCAATAAAATATCTACACCACAAAATGTAAGAGGAGGGAATATCCACGGTGATGCATACGGCGTATGGTAGCACATAGCGACAACGAATGCCACGTATATCAATATGCTGCAAGAAATATTAGCTGTGGTACGATGCGAAGCAACGAAACTTACTGTATGATGAAGAAACACTCATAAAACAGTCTCCTGACTGGCCTCAAAGACGTAAGGACGATGATGCAGAGGAGTGCCAGCGAAGCCACTCCCAAAGTCTCTTTCTGCGGGCCAAGAATTGCAAGTCCATACTGTAGGCGGTTGCGGATCCACAGGAACCCATGAATGCATGCGGCAAGAAACATAGCTCTTCCCGCCATCCTATGCATAAAGTTGAGTTTCTCGTGGCCATTCCCTGGTCCTAACAATAAGGATAGAATCGAGTTTTTTGTTGCGAACAAAAAGACTGTGCGAGAGCGAGAAATCCTAAATGGCCCAAATAAGTTCCTCTCGTGCGTCAACGGATCGACTGACTCACCAGCTCTGTTCGGATTAGACATAAGAGGTGCATCCTTTATGATGCAGACGAGTACAGCTGTGAGGTACGCCAATAAAACTATAACTGAATAAGTTACAAAGTGTCAGTTTTTCCTATCAGTTGCAAACACCCTCGATGCGCACTTTGTCCAACATTAAGCCCGAGCTTCGGAGGAGACCAGTATGTCAGTGAGATAAGAGCATTCCAAGCTCCAACCAATCTGCGACCTCTTCGATGAGTAGTAGGCGGTGGCTCCTTATCATCGGAATGGGCAGACTGATATCATACGGTCTCTGAGATTCCAGTGATTCCCTTGAGGGGACGCCCATGTCTCAGACCAAGAACAACACTTGGAATAGAAACGGCCACAGCCAGTGTGACGCCAGAGCACCAGATTATGGTGAATTTAATTTGCCATTGGGGATCTTCGACGTATGAGCTGTCAATTCATGCATGCGTTTTCAGTATGCAGGATGAGATTTTTCGAATATACTTGTAAATTTGGAAGCTGCTTGGAACGACCGGAGCAGCCATGTTGTTCGAGTTGAGGCCTAGTAGGAGGTAGCAATAATCACTTTCCGGTGCCGGGTGCGCAGCAGCAACCCAGGATGAAGTGCCTGGTACTGATTGGTAAGTCAAGATAACATTTTCACTCCTCATCAAGATAATGAACACGTACTACGGGCTGCGTGGTTTGACGATCACAGTCATGTCAGCAAGTCCATATATATATTCACATCGAGGATACCAATATAAGGTGCTTTGAATGTTACACAAAATGTAAAAACAAAATACTTCAAACTTAGCTTGAGATTTGGCGCTGGGGGTCGATGCTGACAAGACTCTGGAACTCCTGCCTGGCACCGTTGACTTTCCTATTTCTCATGCTGTGTTCTACCACCAATCGTACACCTGCTCGTGCCCTCACGCCTACTCATGGTAAGTAGTGTCATGTTTGTGTTGTTAGAAAGCATATCCAAGTTATCCGCATCATACACTGTATCCTAGCTTGGCATGCCTGACGATAACCAAGAGGTCAATACTTTGTAGTCATTCCATACTTACAAAAAGGAACGTGCATAGATTTAATGCACATGCGTGACACCGCCAAACCTTCCAAAGAGCGTTTCTCCCACTCCGAGCCCCACCACAAGGGAGAATATGAAACCTAGTTGGAACGTCCTGTTCACGCCCAGCACATCAACAACTCGACGAACAAAAAGAGCGATGCGACTTACATAACCGTCAACATGAAGAAGTAATTCAGCAGCGTCTGCGCTGCAAACATGACCCCACGTGAGATATCATGCGCGGGGATAAAGGGTGGAGTGAAGCGCTTTATGAATCCAATGGGATATGACCGAGTTGGTAGAGTATTGAGTTTGTCCGACGCAATGATAATCGCCCTGATCATGCGTAAGAACTATAATATGTGAAAGAAGGCAAAGGACGTACTGTTGGCTCCAGTGGAATTCCATTACTCCTCGGCAAGCTGCTATCCAGCGCTCGATCACCGCCAACATAAACAGTACGATACATGTGCCAACCATGGTTCCCGAGCTCTCAGGAACCCAGCCAAGGAACCAAACTGTATACAGGCCTGTTAGAAGAGCTCATTTTATGTAGTTGAGAAGATATAACCTACGAGTGTCTCCTGGCGCAAAGTGCAGATACGAGAGCATGTTCCCTACGGCAAGAGTCATGCCATCATCCATGGACATGACCATGCCATTGTCTGCGAGACAGATTTGACTCAAACAGGAGAGATAGAGCGCCAATAATTGCCAGCTCATCTTAGGCGTTCGCAGGTGTGCGCAGTAAGCCAAGAAGGTGTTCCGACAGCCAACTTGATTATCCGTGGGAACTACCTTCCCCTAGCGGAATGACGGCCGAGGGGTAGAGTTGATTCTTCCTGAACTGCCAGTAGGCGGTAGATAGAGCTCGAGGATGAAATCATTGGCCAGATTGTCGCAATAGGGTGGAAAAAACAGGATGTCAAGACGTAGACAAATTGGACGAACTACACTTTCGCTCATATTGATCTACGTCGTGACAATCCTGAGGCACACCGTGATCTGGCTTCTGTTCCGTTTCAGTGTACAATGCTTGTCAATATGCAATGTATGGATGTCGAGTGCACGGTTTCGAGTTGACTTGATGTGCAAGAGGTGTCGCAAAGGTCGCAGTTGTGTTGTTGGGCAGGTCGACAGAAGTGCAACTTTATCACGATGGTCCATTTGCTCCCAAGTAAGTCGTATGTCTTGTGCGCAGTTGAGGACCTGTAACACTCTGCGCGAATTTAGCAGAGCTTCGAGCTGCAAGAAGTCGAAGGAGATGCAAAACTGGTGGGAATTGAAAGAGTGAGGCATTTTGGCGCATCGTGGGAATGTTTGGGTTGCGCTATTTGGATATAATTGGAATAGAACCCTAACGCCACAGGGGCTCTAGATGCTCCGAGACCTCCGTTCCGCACATCCGCAATTATATTGGCATCAACATCGTATAAAACGAAACATGGCAAGCTGGTTATTACTGCTCACTCGAAATCTTCATTGCACACTCTTGAAACAAGTCTTTATCGATAAATCTCACCTCCCAAGTCAACAATGAACCAAGTCCACAACATCACCATCACATTTATGGATTTCCCTGCCGAATTACTGTTGCACATTCTTGGTCACCTAGACGTATACGATCTAGTCCGAGCACGCAAAGTACGTCTCTTTCAAAATGCCCAAATCGCTACTAATGCAGAATCCCCAGATATGCAGTGATCTTCGACAACTCATTGACTCTTCCTCGGAGCTTCAATACTTGATCGATGTTCGATACTTCAATGCAATTCCACCCTCGTTGCCTGGCTGCGACTTCGCCATTGCAACACGTCGCCAATTGCTTCAAAAAAGCGAAACTGCGTGGCAGAGAGCCGAATACTCTCAAAGAAATTCCACTACGATGTCTTACTCTCCCGACAACTACCGTTGGTCGTGTGGCATTCTTGGAATCCCAGCGAAATCTCTCCAACAACTCAAGTTCGTCCAGCCCTCACTGTCAGATGGCGACACCCACACCATCGACTTGCGACAACGCATTTGCAAAATTGACAGCACAGCATTCGAGGGTTACAGTTTTTCGCCCACACAGGACCTTGTGGTTATCCTTTCCAGAACAACTCGTGGGTGAGTATCTTCTTGCATATGACGATGGGTTATATTGACGGCAACAGAGAGAGTCATGCATATGACGTCACTTTCAGATCATTGTCTGAGGACAAACCCCATCCTGATGCTGCATCCCCCCTCGTGAAAGCACTGGACAACCAAATCCATCCACAACTCTTTGACTCCCCCTACACGCAAACTATGATCTTCGGAGACTATTATGGCTTGTTCTGCAAATATGCTCACAAAGCAGATGGTGAGCTGATCGATTTTTTGCAAATTTGGAACTGGAAGTCCAAGGAAGCTTCTCAGGTGGGTCAAAGTCTCCTGTTTTGCTATAACTTACGACCAAGTTGGACTTGCAGTGCCTTCAAATCTTTGACGTGGATCGCGGAACGACGAATTTCAGTTTTCTAACGAACGATAGATTCCTCGTCGCCAGCGCGACGGAACTCATGTTGTTCTCCCTCGAGACTATCGATTCGGTCAACGCCATCCGGCTCGTTGGCAAATTCTCCTTCCCTGCATTGAGGGACCCCTTCATCTTTCACTACATCACCTTCAGTCCTATTCCATTCCACGCCAGCACTCATAATCAACTCATCGCTATCAACATGTGTATGTCGGCGCCTACGACCACCAAATCTCCGTATTTCACCTTCTATATCGAGCGCAACACCCTTTTGGAGCTCGAATCTACCTACATCAGCCGTTATGGAGAAGCAAGCCAGGATTCTCCTAGTCTGCCTTGGTCCGCCTGGGGCTCAAAGAACACCCGGTTCTTCGAGAATGCCAACAGCTCCTGCACACACCGCATTTTCGGATTCCGTAGTGCGGATTTGATTGGCGACCTTGTCTCTCGCGATGGGGTACTACAGTCACGACCATTGCGCATCCGCGACTTTAACCCTCATAGGGTGATGGACTTCAAGGCTGGGAACATCACTACATCGCATCAACGACTTGTCGAAGGCGAATCACCAAATTCGACCCTTTTCTTGGATCCACTAGGGCCTGGTCTCCCATATATCGAGACGATTTCTCAGGAAAAGTTCCTTGCGAATGATATGACCGTGGAAGCAAACAGGATAACGTTGTTATCCCTCAAAGTGAGTCGTCATCGGATACTGATTGTGGACATGGCACTTATTCAAACGCAGGGAAGCAGTATGCATAATGTTTCACAGAGCATCGAAATGCTTGATTTCGAGTAATCATTTACTACACCGAAACTGTTCAAGATACTTCAGCATTTTAATATATCTGATTGGTTCATACTCAATGGACTCTGTGAGATGCGCATCGTGTTGCTATCGCATCAACATTATCTCATCATCCTGGTCCTCATAGACTGTTTCAAAATGACAGTTTGACCTGACAAGAACGTGCTTTACTAATCGTCGAGTGCGTGTTTTTGGTCACTCCAACTGGAACTTATACGCAAGAGTCACAGCCTTGGACTTCGCCATATGAGGAGTGTACCCAAGGGGAGTCAAGGACGGTGGTGGCTTGCGGCATGTTTGTCATCTGGTACCGCCGCGGCCGTAATAGACTTCTCATACTTGGTCCCGTTGGTTATCTCATAACACTTTTTGAAGATGGGAGCATCACATATGATACCCCAGGGTCACAGAACGTTATGGTCTCTAAGTGCTGTAGTATGATTGGGGCTGTGAGAAATCACTATATGAATAAGAGTCCGTACATACGACACCCGCACTCTATACCAATCGCTTGGAGTCTTCTGAGTCGCTACTCGGGCTCTTGCTTTCCATGACCTCTTTGGTATCTTTTTGAATCACATCAGCAACACTCTGCGCCTCCTTCTTCACTTCCTGTCCCCATCCCATAGCTTTTAGGTTAAGCCCCGTCCCTTGTTCAATGCTCTCCACAATACTCTTCACACCTTTATTAACCGAGTCTCGTCCAACACCAGCACTTTCTTTCGCGCGCTCCCAGGCTATGCCGCTGTGTGCAACAGAGGTTCTTCTAATTTCTCCAACGCGAGGAACATACCGATCCTCGAGCTCCCTGCCATACGCACCGACCCGAGAAGCGGTACCGGGAAGGAAATATGCGAATGCACCGAATAGGGCTGTAGGAGGGAGAAGGATACGTGTAGGGAGTCCGCGCGAGCGAGTGAGGACCGACGTCGTTAGGGCAGAAATTCCGGTATAGAGCAGTCCGGGATTTAAGGGCTCTGTAGGATCGCGGAAGGATTTTATGCGAGCTGTTCACGGGTCAACGGTCGATGAGGGGGTAGTAGTCGTTAAAACGATGACTCACTCTCCACCTTCTCTTCAACAGAGATCCACCGGTCTATGATACCTTGCGCTTTGGAGTGGACACCGGTATAATAACCCGTGATCTCCCGCCGCACCATTCCGATCTGCTTCTCTAATGCTGACGGGGTGTCGAGTAGAATGAGTTCGGGTATGGGTGTAGGGTATATGGAGAGCTATATGATGTTACTGATTCAGATAATGACGTGCTGTAGGAGAAGTAGATACCTTCGTCTGGCCAGAGCTCGAGGTCCAAGATCCCGAACCTTCAGCTGCATTTGCAACTACGCCCGCCTCTGCAGTCATTGCAGTAATTTCCTAGAGAGTACATTGAATGTGAGTGTGTTTGACGTCTCATTTAAAAACAAACCTTTACGTTTGGTCAGGAAACAGTATATGTCAAATACCGAATGGATGTTCACGCGGACGGCAGTGGCGAGAGGTGAAGGGGGCGTGGGAAACACATTTTGTGCAGAGTCAAAATACTGCTCGACTGTCCCGAAGCCTATCACGAGTTGCTGCAGGTAAGCATGGGTTATGTTTCTCAAGGATTCATACGCTGATAGTCGTCTGTAGGAAATAAATGAAGTCGAAAACCGGCTGTCACCGTCAACTCCTTGACACCTTTGTTTGAGACTCGCCTGAAATTACGGACTCAAATGCCACTCTCATGAGTCTCGGTCCTATTTACCTCTCCGTTCATGCAACGGTGAGGGACAAGCCCGCCTTCACCACTTCATTCGCCTCACCATCCCTACCTCGGTCCCGATCTAGTACGTCGTCATAAATAGTCTGTGTGGCCTTGTATCTTTTTCCAGGCTTCCTCCTACACTGAAATCTCGAGACCGTTTTGTCATCCCCGGGAAGTTTACGGCCGCGGTTTCTTCGGAGAATACTATGCATAATTCGTGCCCACCGAAACCACCAGTTGCTCATGCGGAGAACCACGTCAAACACGAGAGTATATACTATGCAAGCCCTCTATTTACCCGCCAATGTATTCATTTGCGCGAAGTATCTCGTCACCTCACATCCAGCGAAATCATGGGTACGGAGAGAGGAATCATTGCATTGATTACATTTTTTTAGAGAATCCGATGCATTCAAGAAGAGAATATAGAGAAATGATGAGGAAGACATCAAAGGGATAATAGAGGAAGTAGAGGGGAGGGGGGGGGGGTATGGCAAGAGAGGAGGGATGAGTAGGAGAGGGAAGAAGACGCCAAAGAGTGGGAGTTGAGTGGAGGGTTTGTTACATATCAAATCAGCGTGGACGCCATCACAATCTAGAAGATCAACACCTCAAAACAGATTTTATCGGCCATTCGAACCCTAACACCAGCTGTTCTCCTGATCTTGTATATACTGTTACCCAGGACAGCTCATAGGCACCGTGTCTTGAACAGTTTCCGTTGTTTGTAGAAATTCTCTCTTCCTTTGCTTTTGCACATCATAGCTGATATCTCTTGTTTCGCAGGGCCCGGTGAAGACACGATTTTGGCTCGCGGATGTCACCTAATGGATGCGGGATGAATTCAGCTCTCCATCGAACGATTACTTATTGTACAGGAAGCCAAAACACGCGTGGTGAGAGTTGCAGTTGAGTTCGTTTTGTGCGACGCAGTCAAATGTCGCTGCTTTAAAGTCGTATACAGGTGTGTCTCCAATCATCCTCGTACTTCACAGTTCTTCACAGCTGTCCCTCCAGGTCGCCCCAGTCTTTTTTTCTGGCCACATGTGCAGTTTCTTCGTCGATATCGTGCTAGACCTCTCAAGATCAAGTGCGACAATACCCAGATACTGAACATCATCCAACTGACATATGCGTGCACAAACGGTATATCTCGTGACCTAAACGCATGAGTTACGATGACATTACCTCTGTCAAGGGTCGCGTCTTGCAGCCAGGGCTGACCTTCTGGCGTATCTTGAAATTTTCAGTCCTTTTCATTCACCCATCTCTTCTGAAGACTCCATCCACCTAATCGAACCGATCATGAGGGATATGCATATGGTTCAGTACCACAAAGCTTTCGAGTTGTCAGAATCCTGGGGAAGTCTCATAGTAGATGCCAAGGGACATATGGCGCGACTTCATTGAGGTAGTTTTGCTATATAGACGGATGTTATGTAAGCCTTCGACTGTTAACTTAGCCTCTTTCAGGCTGCTTTCATGTCATGATCACGTATCAAAGCCGTATTCTCGCCTGCGAAGAAGCGTACGCCGGAAACGGCCGGGTTGATCACAGCCTGTATAAACGTGAGTCCCTCTAAGGGGGCTGTGTTTTCCAAACTAATGGTGTTTCGAACTTCAAAAACAGGAATTAAGGACCGACACAATGGGCACATGCGAGCGTCCAAATCAACTTTGTGTCGATCAAATCTAATCATATAGGGCTATAGGTCTAAATTGAGTACTCATGGCTATGTTCTCAGGCTCAGATAAGAAAAGCTGTATGGTGCGCGCCCGAAACGTGTTTCTTTGCCACTCGAACGAAAGCACCCTCCATGGAACTTTCAGCTGAGGATGTCCAAGTCGCAGCGGCCTGGAATTTGCGTTACTTAGCAGTACGTCGTAATACGAGGGCAAGATATTAACAGATACTCATCATGCACGACCACCAGTGTACATGCCGTGCGTGCTGTCTGAACTGCTTCTCCCTCCTCTTGTTCTGACTCAACATCTCAGTGACGCTGGCTACATTCTGGGTAGGCTTGTCCCAATCTATTCCCGTTTGCCATTAAACCTGTCTATCCAGACCTATGACTACATTAGTTTGCTTCACGAAGAGGTAAGTCGTGCGCTTGTTCCACTACACGCCCCGCTTTGGATACTAATAACATGCTGTTCAAAGTGGACATTCCTGCTTCAGTCACGCTGGACTAAGCTGAAAGCCCTTTATATCGTTGCACGATATATCCCCTTCTTCTTCATCGCCACGGACCTATATAGTGCGTTCATTCCAAGCAGTGAGCATAGATAAACTGACATGTTGTATTTCAGTGATCTTCACCCCGAACGAGAACCCAGATGTATGTGAGACTTGCCCACCGATGAATAACGCTTACTGCATGAATTTGCCAGAAATGCCGGATGTTAATCGATATTTACTCATGTGCGTGCACGCTATATGTGACTGCACTTCCTGGCCGAGGGCTGATCTTTCCTCTTATAGGTCTGGGAGTGATATCGCTCACTTGCTCTGAATGTATCTTTCCTTCCCCTCCCACATATACGTACTATTATCTAATTTATTCAGGCTTTTTTGTGCTCAGAACATATGCGCTTTGGAACAAAAATCGAAATTTACTTGTAACGATGATGTTCGCCCTGTTTGTGAGTTTCATGCCACCCTGACCACACCCACTCTCGTGGTTGAAACGTTTATGAATCAATCAGTCTACCATCATATTATTCATCGGTATTTGGTTTACGAGTATTGCTACCTCTGATGGTTTGTAATCTCACCTCACCTTCCCCACTACCATTCGTACGTATTCACTCCACTTTCACAGTCACGACTAGCACGATCCCAGGCATTGTAGGCTGCTACCGAAGCTCGCGCAGCATCTATTTCTTCATGCCGTTTCTTCTCTTGTTTATGTTCGCACTGGGTATGTCGCCGCGAACCAGAAACATACATTACAGACACGCGCTGACCACGCTCTCCCCAGGATTGGCCTTCCTCACGCTCATACGTGTCATACAGAGCTGGCGGACAGCCAGGAGCCCTCTGCGTGCCATCCTGGTGAAGCATAATATGTTCTACTATGCATGTAGTCTATGTGAGTCAGGGTTTAAACATATTTCCGTGCTTATCAGTGATGATTATTGTTCCGAAAGTTCTCTCGGCCGTGAACGTCCTCATACCAGTGCTATTTTCCTATGTTGTGAGTAAACCCCCATACCCTTCAGTATGATTGAATCGTTGATATCCCCACACCCAGTCCGCATATTACTCCGTCCTCGAACAGTATGCACTTCCAACCTCCGTCGAGAATTCGCGCTGACAATACCCTGAAACCCTTATAGTTTGCAAGTCCTTGTCCTTGCGATCCTAGCCACGCGCATGCATCTCAAACTTTGGCATAGCGACCAGCACGTGCACGACTCTAATGTCCTCTTATATATTCCCATGTCCAACATGTCACCTACAGACTGTATGGTATAACGTCTTATCGTGTTTGACACAATATTGTTGGTAGAGTGAAGTTTGCCTTTTTGGACTGCAAGATGACTGATTTGGTTGACTTGGTTGCGACCATAACTTTTTGGAATGATTTTTGTCAGGATAAAGCATTCGACGCAAGGAGATCAACCAAAATCTGAATGGCATGATGGTACTGGCAGCGCCGCGCCGTCACTTTCTAATCCTTCATAGACTGTATCGGGAGTCTGTTTCAGCTCTCAGTCTGAACTGCCACCAAGAGTTTTCTTCAATATCACGTCGACAAGGGCAAGACTCGTGGTCATTTAGACACTGCAAGCAATTATGACATGGGATGTGTGAATACTGACATACGTGGCATTCTTTGTCGCTATATGCTACCACACGTTGTATGCATCGCCATGGATATTCCTTCCCCTTGCATTTTATGCCGCAGATGTTTTATTGCGTCTATTCTGCTATCGAATCAAGGACGCCAACTTACTACACAAGACGCTCACATGACTTTGGTACGAGATAATTGAGTGTTATTCGATAAACTGTTTGACCTCATCTTTCATAGATCCGCGTTCATAATTGTCACAGTGACGATGACTGGCTTGCTGGCCAGCATGTCGGACTGCGCATTTTCTTCTGCAACAAAGACAAAGTGTTTGAATCCCACGACTTTTTCCTCGGCGCCACCTTCCTACTTGTGCCTATCCTCACCCAGGTTCCTTCTCGCTGCACAAAGCGATGGGACTGGACACGTGTGTCAAGCTAGACTGCAGTCAGGGGGTAACGAACTCAGAGAATCAAATTCATTTGGTACTCATCAGATCTTTCGGTATTTCAATTTTGACCATGTGCGTTACATCATCCTGATCTATTTACATAGGTCAGATAGAATGGTGTACTCTGATGCTGATGGATATTGCTACGGCAGCGTCTAATAGCACGATGACCTGCACATTCCTATTTTCGTAACGTATCTTTGCGATCGAGAAGCGGTCATATCGATATCCCCAACTCCGTCGTCTCACTCTCACGTCAGAATCTTCTCAAGGACTTCATCAGTCTTCCGCTATCATCTGAAAGGGAACAATCGATCACCATGCGGTGTGCTAAAAGTCAGATATTACTGAGATTGGGTGGGAGAGTCGCGGTCTGCGCTAGCGGCCCAGAGAGCTTGACGAGAGATGCGCAGAATGACCCTTGACTGCCAGCGACGCTGGAACGCGGAAGTCTAAATCTGAATGTACTCAAATATTGCCAGTCCCGGACAGTTATCCGTTGATGCAATAGTGAGGGTCAAGCTTGCATGCTTACCTCAGTCCCGATGTAGTATGTTTTTTTTTTTTTTTTTTTAATTCAGATTTAATGTCCTATGGAGAGAAGTACTCTAAGGAGGACAATACTAGCTAGTCGAGGGGACCCCCAGTGTCCCCTATCGCATCTCTGGGCGCGCGGATGCCCTGGTGTGAGGCGTACCCCCACCAGTCCGCCGTTCCCGCCGGCCGTTTTAGGCGCGCCGCCCTGTGATGATGAGATGATAATGTTGTACATATATGCTGTATGTAGGCTGGCAGATGTGCAATATAAAACACATACTCGTCCGCTTGCGCGGATTGGTACAGGAGTCTGGTTGGATGTATGGAATAACTAAGTGTTTGGGCCCTGGTTTGAGCAGAGGGCCTCATGTCTTGAGTTCCGTGAGGTGCGATCCAAGAGTAGAGGGTGATACATAAGACTCCATGTGGGCGAGTGGTTGAGGAAGGTGTGGTGATGAGGGGGGAGAGTGATGGCGGTGATGGTATGCTTGATGTGAAGATTACTATAGCTAAGGAGAACGAGTGATTAATCTGTCGGGACGTTGGGCAAAGGTACTACACCTAGTACTGCTTTCATTCGACCAGTAGCATTGATATACGTAACTAGGTGAGGGGTGGCTTCGGGCGTGGATAGGAGGAACTGGATGGACGAGGCGTCACGGCCTAGGGCTGCGGTGAGAAGGTGACGTTCTTTGCGGTAGTGTGGGCATGCGAGGAGATAATGGTGGACCGTTTCATCGGTGTTGGGGCAGTGAGGGCAGGATGGGCTGGCTGATTTCTGAATGCGATGCAGGTGTTTGTTGAGCGGTGCATGTCCTGTGCGTAGGAAGAGGTAGAGGCTGGTGAGGCGTTTCGAGAAGGTGGCAGACAGTTTGACGAATGATTTACGAAGGATATGGGGGTCTATGCGGTTTATATGGCGAAAGCGAGGGGAGGTGCTCCAGAGATGTTTCCATCTCTCTGCGGTGGATTTCACTTGAGATTCGATCAAGGCGGAGATGCTTAGGGGGAGGGTGCGATGGCGGAGGTAACGGGGTAGGAGATGCGTAGGGCTGTCGTTGTGGTGTCCTTCTGATGCTGCTTTAGCATGCTTGTCTGCCTCTTCGTTGCCGTGCATGTTGGAGTGCCCTGGTACCCAACAAAGGGTCACGTTGAATCCATCGTGTTCTCGCGCTGTGCGCTGCATTATTCTGCGAAAGTGATCCGCCAGATAGGAGCCGGGGCGTGAATAGAAACTCTCACCTGCAAGGATTGTCGCTTGGTTATCGACGAGGATGGAGGTAGGGAAGATAAGGTTCGGTTCGGTGGCTATGAGGTGCGCCGCCAGTGTTAGTCCCACTTCTTCCGCCTCAAATACTGTGTGCTCCTCCTCTGACCCTAAGTGAAACCGCAATGTCCTTGGTTGTTGGCCCACTCTGAACAGTATTGCTGCCGCCCCAATTCTCCCTTTGAATCCAGAACCGTCGCTGTATATCTGGATGAGGTCAGTAAGTTGTTCACATTCCTTGATGGCGTCGTCTTTGGTTGCAGCGATGTGAGAGGTCCATGTGTTCCTCGTGGATGGTGGGCGACGAGCTGGGATTAATGTTTCGACGGTGTCAGGGTGTAGACCGAAACGGCGGGTGAGGCGGTGGAGGGATGTGCGATGTGATGCTACATAGCGGCCTGCAGCCTTGCGTATTGGGATGAAGAGAGGGTGAGAGCTTGGGTGAGCCGTGAGACGAACGATGGAGCGGAAGCATGCGTTTTGGAGGAGGAGGGTGGTGGGGAGGAGATGTGCGTGAGCTTCAAGTGTGTCTGTGGCAGTGGTCCTCAAAGCTCCGGTTATGGCTATGGCTGCCAGGCGCTGAATTGACGTTAGGCGCTTTGCAACACCAATGGAACCGCGTTGCAGGGTATTAGAACCTGTGTGGAATACTGGGGAAAACCAAAGGTCAGCAGCATATAACATCTTAGGGACCGCCACTGCTAGGTACAGTTGACGCATAAGGCGCATGGGTAAGCCTTTGGCCGATGCAGATAGGCGACGTAGTTGCATAACATAAGATAGGCCACGCGCTATTGCGTTGTCGACTTGTGCCTTCCAGCGAAGTTCCTGGTCGAGGATGACACCCAGGAATCTGTGGGTCTGAACTGGACGAATAACGGCCCCTTGGATGTGCATATTAGGGCGAGGTTTGAGTCTGTTCATAGAAAAATCCATTAGCGCGAATTTGTTAGTTTCAAAACAAGAATTATGAGCTCTGGACCAATCATAGCCTCCCCCTGGGCGTTCTAACATATCCGCTAGGATAGCGTGGGTCTCCGTGAATGTGTTACCTATTGCGATGAAGGCCGTATCGTCAACGAAGGCCAGTGTGAGTTCCTTCAGTGCTCGACGATTGCCTCGAGGTGTCGCGACGTCCACAAGGCCGGAGCTGTATATGATGTAGAGGATCATAGACAATGGGTCACCCTGACCGATTCCATTAGTGACTGGGAACCAGTCCGAGGTGAATCCATCGAATTTGAGCTGAGTTTGTCGATGCGTTAGTAACCGTTCAGTGAATTGGACTATCTCACGAGGTATGCATCTCATCCGCATGTTATGGATCAACCGGGTGGTCACCGCGTTCGGGAACGCGCCTTCTATGTCGAGGAAGAGTACAGAGGCTACTTTGTGCGAGCGCCACACATTTTTGACAGTCTCCTCCAGGAGATGGAGCGAGTCTGTGGTGGACCGTCCCGGGCGTCCACCAAAGTGCGTGTTAGGGAGGAGATGGTGGTGTTCGAGCACGTAGGTCAGCTGGTCTGCTACTACCGCTGTCAAGAGTTTACCAGTGGTGTTGAGCAATGCAATGGGTCGATATGCTTTGGGAATGCCGTAGTTGGGTTTGCCTGGTTTCCGCAAGACGATAGTGGTGAATTCCCGCCAGGGTTGATAGAACATTTGGTGAGAGAATGCGGCCGAGAACAGGTGGAGGAGATACGGGACTAGGATTTCAGAGCATTCTTTAAAGGCGATATTACAGACCCCGTCAGGGCCAGGCGCCTTATACCCACTGAGTTTGACGATGGCGCGTTTGATTTGATCCGTCGTGATGGTGGGCATGCGTGCTACAGGGTCTGGATAGATGGTGTCCTGGGGAAGAAGGTCGTTAGCAGGAGGGGGCGGGAAGAAGGACGTAGCTAGGATTGCGCTTTTTGCGCTATTGGTGGCCGCTTCGGCCACTGTGCCATCTGGTCTGGTGGTGCGTAGGGTAGGGACTCGTGTTTTTCCTCCGTCCGAGGGCGCGGAGGAGATGTATCTGTTGGCTGTCCATAAGTCGTTACCTTCAATGTCTTCCAGCCATTCTACCCAATGTTGCTTCTTGGTTGCCGTGATCTCGTCAGCATAGAGCTGCTTAGTCTGCTTCAAGTCAGTATGGACTGCATGGGTTGGGACTGCGCGCATCTGGTAAGCTAGCTTGTCGAGGTCTCTGATGCGTTGCCGAAGGTCAGTGAGACGTTTAGTCCACCATCTCTTGGAATGGGGGCATGGCTTTGAGAACGGGACGCATGCGTCCATGGCAGATGTGATCGCATTGGTGAGGTGCCTGGCCGCTTGTTGGAACTCGTCGTCGGAGGCGAGAGGGATGGCTGGTTTGATGGTTATGGCGGTCTGGAGATGCGTTTTGAAGGCATCCCAGTCGACTTCTCGCCAATTACGGCGTAGTTCGGGTGTGGTCTGTGGGACAACGAGATCCAGGGTCAGTAAGATGGGAAGATGGTCAGTTTTGGGGCCACGTAGGTCGGGTGCCGTATCACATGAGACAACGGCATCCAGAAGGTGTTCGGTTCCGAAGACATTGTCTGGGCGGGTCCAGTTGCCCGTGCTAGAGGCTTGCAGGGTGGGGATGCCGCAGGGGAGTAGTTGCACCATGCTATGTTCAGCGATAAGGTCTATAAGGGGGTTAGCAGCAGCGTAGTTAAATAAGTGGCGGTTCCGTATATCCTCCCATAGGGGGTGGTGGCGATTGAAGTCGCCCATCCAGAGGACATGGTCTGTGGCTGAGGAGCGAATAGAGGTGTTATTAAGTTCTAGAAAGTTGTCGAGAGTGGTTAGCGTGTTAGCGTGATTACCGTCATTATATATATTAAATAGGGTACATCGGCCAAATGCACCAGACAGTTGGATGGCGACAACGTCTGAGGATGGGAGGGTCAACTGCGTCCAACTGTTCGTGTCTAGTTTGGTGCTGATCAGGATGACGGCTCTTGTTCGTTGTTGGGGGTGCGTGAGATGTTGAGAGGGATAGAGAACGTGCCAGTGGTGGTTGGCACTGGTGTTGCGGAGGAAGTTAATATGAGGCTCCTGGATTACCAAAATATCCCAATCGACGATGGTAGGGGAGTTGAGTAAGGACAGTTGCGCAATGAGAGAGGTGTTGAGATTTTGTTGCCAGATTCTAAGTCGGACGGTGTTTCCAAGGGCGTCGTCAGACATAAGAGGACGATGAGGAGGGGGTGGAACTTTCAGATTGACGAGATGAGGATGGGGAGGGTTGAGGGGTGAAGAAGGTCGTGGCGTCTGAGGGAGAAGAGGTGGTGGGGGTGTCGAAGTCAGTTGGGGGGTAAAGATCCGCCATGACATTCTCAGCAGTGGGGAGTGTTTTAGCGGGCGGGAATGAGATGGTAGCTTGGCGGAGGGTGCGGGTGTTCTGTGTTGATGGGGGTTGCATTGGAGCAGGGGTTTGAGCGGGAGATTGAGTGGTAGTGGTGGTTTG